GGTAAGATACTTGACTTTTGCCTTGTGGGTAGGGGTGAAGGCATCCCCAGGTGTATTGTATACTTTTCATTATTATTGCTAGCAATACGAACATCTATTAATAGCACTATTTTAGTCAGTGCATTTATCAGTGGCTATTTCAAACTTGTTATATCTGTTGCCTTAATAAATTGCCTTACATTTATATCTAACTACTACTTATTTGACACATTTGCGAATCCATTCTCATGGCAGTCTTCACTTGAGGACAGTAGGAGAGACAAATGTTAAGTGGTTGTACACAAACACACAAAATTGTTGGGTCATAAACCATTGATTAAGACTTGGGACACAAGACTGCAGTTCAGCTGCCCCAGTGCTTGAGGGTTGTTGGATAGCAAGGGGGCTGTAGTCTGAAATCCTGTGGCTTCAACGGAAGGATCCTCCTCCACCACACATCCATGTCCACACACACTTGGAGGCTTTTTGCCTTCTTGTGACAGTGCTCCACTACATGACAGCATCCTTTATTTTTATAAGGTAACTGAGAAGGCCCAGTTGAGAGAGATCTGATAACAGCAAATTTTACTAGACCCAGCAGTGTGCAGAGAGAGAGGTTTTTTCCAACATCTGGCAAAAATGTCTGAGGCTGATCTTCTTTTACGGCAGGAATTGCATTGGAATGATAATCCAAACTCCATTCAGTTCCAGGAAATGTGGCTGGAGCCAACCTTTTTAAGTCAACTCCTACATCATGCTGCATGTCTTTGTACTGAGCATCTTGGCAGTATGTCTATATTTTATGTAGTTTAAATGCTGCAATCCATTTATTTCACTGTGTCTAGGGAGATGGGGGTGTTTACTAAAAGTAAAGTAAGATGAAGTATTGATGTGAGATTACAAGTAAGATGGAGAATTGAGGAAGGATGCAAATAAAGGGTTTCAGCCAGACAGCCACAGCTTTGTTGTCATTTTTACACTAGATGCTCTTCTGCTACTCTTGTCTTCTGGCTGTATTTCCAACAGGAAAAAAGGAGACAGAAAGACGCAGGAGTAAAATCCAGAGAAGCACTACAAATCCATAGTATCTGCTTATGTTGTTGCAATGGAACATAAATGGAACATTAACTGGTGTAATGAAGAGTTGTTGGTGTGGAGGTTTTTTTAAGTTTTGTCTGCTTTGATGAAAAAGTTGCTGTATATTCAGAAAAATCCACATGCTGGTAGATATTTACATCACAAATGATATTGTGGGTTATCTAGAGCAGCCTCATTCCTTTTCCATGGGTAAATTAATGCTTCTAGTATATTCATTTGAGCCCAAGAGCTGCTGAGGTACTTTCATAGTTAGTTTTTTCTAGATGACAGGAGATATTTTAAAAAAAAAATCTTTTTTATCCTCTGTTGGAGCTGTGTAAAAGCTGCATTGACATCAACGACTGTCAGGAAAATGCATAGTGCTTTTTGGATCAATGCCTAGTAGAGTTAATGGTGATTAGCTACAGCAAAACCCAGAAAGGGTTCAGTGTTTGTTTAAATTGTTTGTGCCTTAAACTACTCTGTTATACCTTATAAAGGACCAAAGGCTTTTATGGTCTGTACTATGGTTAATTTATATTGTTTAACATGTAGCACTTTTACATACTAAACTATTTATATTGTTTAACATGTAGCACTTTTACAGAGGGAGATGTATTATATGTGACGATTTAATTTATTTTTTTAGTAACTGTATCTATTTAAAAAAAACCAAACCTGACTGGCATGTTGTTTGTCTCAGTTGTTAACTGCTTTGGGTTGTAAAACAGGCAGACCTCACAAAATTACCAAATCTCATCAGTGCCTTCGGGGAAAATGCCATCTGGTACCACCTGTCTAATGGGTTGTCCATCTCTTACTCTTTCTACAGCTTTACCAGAAGATTCTTTTTTTCCCCTTCCCAATTAACACTGTTTCTTTAGAGTTGATGAATAAGTTTGATAGACAAAGGGAGAGTGAAAGGTAGATCTGATGATCAGCAGAAACAGAAGTAATAAGCATGATGTCAGAAAAGGATATGTTTGCTGATTCTTAGCACAGAAGTTCAGACTAGCATGGTCAGAACTGTTCTTTATTTAAACTTGGTTGTTAACATGAATCTAACAGCAATATTTCAAACATTTTCTCTCTGTGTGTACATTTACACATTCTGAAAAGGCATAAATTTTTCATATGCTGGACCATGAGGGTTATCATACTGTGCATTTTGGGAGGAGACCTGTGTGTGAGCTGAAGGGGAACCAAGTAACTCTTGGTGTCTGCAAATTTCTTAAAGTCTCAGTTTTCATACACTATGTTTTTCACAGAAGATATTTCATGGAAGATTGACTACTGCTGTATTGTGCATACAGCCTGATACAGAGCACTTCTGCTTGAAGCCTATCTATCCCTTTTTTTCTGCTGACTCAGACTGACTCATACAGCAGATGTGGTTCTAACTGGGGCTAACATTCAATTTACCAGAGATCTACTTTACAGTAATAGGTTAAAATTGTATTTTCATGCTTGTAACTTTCATTTCTTTGAAGATTTGTCGCTTTATAATATAGCAGTTAAAACATTTGTTTTGATGCGTACAGAACTAGTAATTTAATTGTCTGTATTTTTAGGTCTGTTTTGAGCATGTGTTTATATTTTTCCAGGTATCTGAGCATAAATTCTGCTCTGGCTGCAGCTATTAAAGATTAATTGCTGGGTTTTTTATGTGTTAGGTTTTTTGTGGGTTTGTTTGGTTTTGTTGGGGTTTTTTTGTTTGGTTTTTTTTTGTGATGTTGCAGTCACAAGGCTTTTTTTTTCTACAGCATCAACGTTTATGACATGAAGGCTGAGCAGCTCCTGATACTTTCTATGGTTCCCATCCCCTGGCATTCCCATCCCCCTGCTTATTGCTTCACATCAGGCATTCAGTCCTTTGCAGATTCAAGCACTATGTAAAGAGGCTTTTTGCCTGGGGCCGTGATGAACAAGATCTATTTCCTTAAGCAGTGATGAGACAGTATTTCCTTGTGATGTGCTTTAAAATTTGTTCTAACAACTCAGGATTGGAGGAAGCTCAGACTTTCTCATCCTTTTTTCACCATTTTCTTGCAGTTTCCTTATTGCACTCACATCTCAGGTGATAATGCAAAACATATATTCAGAAAAAATGTATATGGTGGAGACAGACCTACTTTATTTGTATAATTATAAAAACAGTACCAAAAACTTTACAACAGATATTTACACCTCTTGAACTTGAGCAGTAATATTTGCACTGAAAAAAAAATAAATGTGGAATTGCATATGTATTTAAATCTTTCTTCATATGGGAGTATCTGTTTATTAAGACTTAGTGTGATAACCAGTTCTGATCAGACTCTGGAAACTGTCAGTGATGTTTTATTAATCAACCAAAGCCTTAATGACTTGTGAAGTTGTTTAATGCTGTTTGCATTGGACTGAAGTGCTTTGCTCCATATTGGGACCTGTTCATACTATTATTGTCACAGTTTGACTTAGGTCCGACAACAATGCTCTCGATCCCCTCCCCCCCCAACCCAGGTAGGGAAGGAGAGAGAGGAAAAGAGAGAGACTTGGCTGGATTGAAAACTAAACTAGACAGCTTTAATTAAAACACTAATGAATGATACAAGAAAATATATACAATTATATACAGATATGTTCAGGTATGGGCAAAAACCTCTCACCTCCCCCCACCCCAGCAACTCCCACAGCACTTCCCTGAACTGGGAAGAGTCCCGAGGAATCCCGGAGCTGCTGCTGGAGAAAGAGCAGAGAGTTATGGGGGTCAGGAGAGATCAAGCCTGAGGATCGACAGTGATGGATGAACAGAGTCCTCCCTGGACGCCGGCCATGGACGGAAGAGAAGGGAAGAAGAAGAAGGAAGGAAGTTGTCTTCTGTGATCTCTGACCTTCCTCTGAGCTTACGTAGATATATGGAATGGAGTATCTTTGGCCAATTTTGCTGTCCATCTAACTCAGCCTCCTACGGGGGGGTCACAGATCTCCCCATAGTGTCTGAGCCGGCAGAGTGCAGGTGCAGCCTTGAAGCCTCAGTAGTTAGAAAAACATTCCACTGTCTTATCAGCCTAGCAGAACACGCTGTTGCTAGTTACAAGAAAGCTTACTGAAGGAAAAAAAAATCAGTAAAAAGAAAAATTGGCTTCATCCTGGCTCAAACCCGGACAATTATCAATCCCAGAAGCATGTTGTTCCTGTTCATGTGTATCAGAAAAATTCACAGAATACATTTAGCAAGAAAAGAATTAAGACATGGAGTGTATAGAACTGTGTCCAGTTCTGGGCTCCGCGCTAAAAGACAGACATGGACATGCTGGAGTGAGTCCACCAAAGGGCCACAAAAATGGTGAAGGGACTGGAGCATCTGTCATAAGAGGAGAGGCTGGGAGTGCTGGGACTGTTCAGCCCAGAGAAGAGAAGGCTCTGGGGGGGATCTTATCCATGTGTATAGATACCTAATTGTAGGGGGAAAGGACATAAAGCCAGATTCATCTCAGTGGTTTTAAGTGAAAGGAAAAAAAGGCAACAGGCACAAGGTGAAATACAATAAATTAAAATTAAACGTTAGAAAATCTTGTTTCCTGTGAGGGTAGTCCAAGAGCAGCAAAGGCTCCCCAGCGAGGTTTTACACTGTCTGTTATTGGAAATACTCAAAACGTGACTTCACAGAGTCCTGAGCAGCCTGCTCTAGGTGACCCTGCTTTGCTGACCTTTCTGGGTCCTCCAGAAGTTGTTTCCAACCTTGAGTATGACTCAACATGGCTTTTTATTGTGAAGTCTTACCCAAACTGAAATGGCATCTGTGGGAGTTCTGTTAGATGCTTTAAAAGTTTTGAGATCTGTTCCATTAGGATTCAAACTTCTGTATAAAAGTTGTTTGTCTTAACTACAATGTCTTTAACATTGCTTGAAAAAATGTAGGGTTTAATAACTTTGTCTGGTCCTTTTGTTTTGCCCCTTAGGAGCGTTTTTTCTCACCAAGAATTTGTCGCCGACTTCATGCTGTCCTAGCATCTTGTAGCACTTCATTGTTGATTTTATCAAATCTAATATTTCTCGGAGGAATTCACGTTGGAAAAATCTACTGGAACAGGATCTTTGTGGAAGGCAAGTATGTTTTTATGTGCTTTCTAGATAACAGAGCTTTCCAAACATTACCTTGGGTGGGCTAAGCCAGATTCTTGTCTCAGTGTACTGACTGGGAGTAACTTCTTTTCTGTTCGTGTTCAAAACTATAAAAAAACCTTCCTGATAAAATCTAAATAACTATGCACTCTGTGTGACTACAAAGAAACATTGCCATTCTCCCATCAAGTCTAGAAAGATAGTTATAAGGCTCTCTGCCAGTGAAATCACTGAAGATAAAATAATAAATGTGTGACAAGTTAACCAGGTGGCATTCTTTTTTCTGCTCTGCATTTTGTGTACATCAGTAAGAAAAGGTGTGCTAAACCCTACAGATTCTGTGGAAGGTTAGTGAATGAGATCTGCATAACACAGCATAACTGAGCAATTAAGGTTTTTTTTGTAGTGGATCTGTTATCAGGGCAGGGACCTTCTGACTATTGAGGACAAGGTTTGAGGACAGGGGCAGTAGGGTGACAGTGTCAGCCTGTGGTGTTGCTGAATAAGCAGTATACAGCGTTGTGCTGTGAGCTGACTCAGGACACAAATCTACTTCAATTTTTCTGCCAGAGATCAATGTAAGCAGGACCAGTTTTCTTCCTAGGTTCTTACTGCTGCCAGATTCCTACATTGTCAAATAAACGTCTTGCAGAGGAATATTTCTTCCTCATGAGGCAAGTACTTACAGGCTTTTGTGCCCCTATAAAGATCACTACGTTCTATTGCTCCTTCATACAGTGTTTTCTGCTCTTATTCCTTGTGATGGTTCAGAGGCCAGCTCTGGAGCTCCAGGGTCCTACTTAAGCAACCCAGGAGAATCAAACTATTAAATAATAAGTTATGTACATAGACAACAATTTCTCTTCTGAGCTCTAGGAAAAAACATTAAAACAGCCCTAAGAAAAGTACATTTTCAGCATAAAACATAGTGAAGATTATTAGTACTGGGCAGAGAAGATGGGGTGAAATGCTTGGTCATGTTTGGTTTTTGGTCTTAAAATATACCTGTCTTCTGTTTTCTTAAAAAGGCTTAATTTTCTCTTAAATTGATTTCTCCCAGTTAGATAGCTAATAGTTTCAGTAGAAAAAACTATGTAAGAGGACAAGTTTGGAAGTAAAGTTAGACATCACTTGTTATCTGTTCAAAAAAAGTATTAGTGAAATTGTCCATATCAGGTTTGTAATTTCATGCAAATTATTTTCATAATGCAATTTTTATATTTTAAATGGAGAAAGTATGCCTTCCTCTTCAGTAGGATTAGCAGCTGGCAGAGTGCTGGGGTTTGCATCTGGTGAAGGACAATGTTTTTAACAAGTAGAGCAGTATTAAACAGATCAACTATTTTTTGTTTTTCTAGGTTTGGTTTGTTGGGTTTTTTTAATGATTCTTTGCTCTATTGCTTTGCATATAACAGCATTAGGTACCAGGTGTATTAAGATAGGAATAATAAATTAGTTCGGTCATTTGCAACTTTGTTTCCATGATGTGTTAATCAAATTAACTTTATTTTTTAATGTAAACCCTTTTGTTTAGTGCAGTTCATACTGTACCAGTACCAATCTCAGTGTTAAGCTTTATATCCCATATCCTTAGATCACACAGATGACTGTGAGCATATTCTTTTACTGCATTATGGTTCTGACAATTTGTGTATAAGCTGCAACATCTGCTAAGATTTTGTTACATCAACACTCCTTCTCCATTGTGGTTTCCCTACTGTGGAACAAACGCTGAGCATTGAAGACCAGTCAAATCCAGAAGGACTATTCAGATCTATGGTCTTCAATTAAAATCAAATTTATGTGCTGGTCTGTAGGAGATATAACAAAAATCTACACATATTATTTGGAGAATGCAGTGCTAAAAGATAAATACATTTGCATATGGTCTGCACTGTTCTGGTGAAGCCAGTTCATCAATATATTCATACCAAGCTAAATGCCATGTACTCTTTGGTAATTCTTTTGTCAGCCCTAGGACAGATAAGATGATCTAGCTCCTTGTCTTCGACTCAAGTTTTTGTCATTACCTTCATAAAAAAATTAAATGAGGATATGCTTGACTGGTTTAAAGAAGTAAGGGTGATGGTAGAGGGTGAGTGTCCTGTGGGGCAGCAGGGTGTTTGGTTTGGGTTTTTATTTTTACACTTTAGGTGTGGATTTCACAGTTTGTAAATATAATTGGCATTTGTGGATCACTGACAAAATTAGTCAAGAACGTACATGCTAAACTCAAGGAATGAAGTGTATCTTGGAGCAGAAATCAGATCTCTGGGTTTAGGTGCAGCTTTAGGTGCTGTATGTGGCATTTTCAGGTTTGGCAAGTAAACAATATTTAAAACCCCAAATTCCCGGCATATATCACTTTGTAGTCAGGAACTGAGTTCTATTGTATAGTATCTAAAAACAGCTAAAAGCAGCTGCTTGGAGAGCATCTTCTTTAGTATGTGTGTGATAGTGATGCAAATTTTAAATCACTACTTCTTAAAATGAAGTTTTACTGAAAATGCAAGAAATGCACTTCTAGTTTTGCTCTTTGATTACTGAATAGGATCTCCTGTGTTCTCTTGCAAAGGCTGAGTATTACTAAAAATCTATACAGTTCTCTTGAGTGTGTGGAGGAGATAACATGGGTATGAAAGCAATTACAATCAAGGACAGCATAATCAGTGCAAGGAGGACTGTGCAAGTGAGCTACGATTGTTATCAAAGCTTTGTGGATTGTTTTTCAGGGACAGGATTTAGGTGAAGTTGTTTCTCACATGTGGTAAGCTTTAGATGCTTCAATGACCCTTGCCGTGCCATAGTTATCCCTTCTCTTTTCCTGGAATTCTTGCTTGACTGATATTTGAGCAGTTTTGCAGTGCCTTGGCAGTGCTTTCCACAGCTCCCATACCACTAACAAGAAGAATTTATTTTGAGCATTCTAGGTACCAGCATTTATTACCATCACCTTTGCTTTCCTCTAGAGATAACTGTATTTATCTGGCTTTAAAATTAATTTCTGTGCATCATTAAAATTGCTGCTGTCAAAATTATGAGAGCAGGAGGTTGTGTGCCTTATACGTACAAGTATTTGTTCTTAAGTTTGTTCTCAAACTGTTTGTACTGGCCTTACTGCTTGATTCTAGAACTTGACTTGGCCCTGTAAGCAAACGTTTGCTTTGACTTTTTTAGTAAGGCTTTTTGCATATGAGACAGTGTCATTCTAATAAGACAGCAGGAGAAATGTCTTCTACATAGCAAACTGGTTTTAATCCTGTATTCAGAGTAATTAATTAATGCTTTCCTTCAAAATGAGAGGCTCCAGTGAGGGGGGTTGTCTTTGGAAGGGCTCTCTCCTGGGACCAGTGCTGTGAAGTGCTTTTGGTTAAGGGGTTCAATTATCTTAACAGGCATGGCCAAAGGCATTAAATCTGAGAGGGCACACAAGCATATTGGGTGATAAAAGTATAAAATGCTTCCCGCTCTTTCTCAGGTTTGTGAGGAACAGAGTCCAGATGAATGAGGAAAGCACACAGTGCATGTCAGGTATATTTTACTTTGAATAGCTGTCAGCAAATTGGACAGCCATCATTTAACTTGACTATAAACCAGTACTTTAAGTATCCTTTCTAAATTGTGAGGAGTGCCTCTCTTGAGGCAGTTCATCCCACATATGTCTATCTTAGCATGGGATGAGATGCACTGTCACTCCCCACTGTGTTCAGAGACATTTTGTACAGGATAGTTTCAATTAGATTAGATGTCTGACTTTTGAGAAGGTGTCCTTTAATAAACATCCAGCTAAGAGTGAGTTTCACCCTCAGTTAGAAGTGATTTACTGCAGGAGTACAGAATGTCTGGCTGGGCAGAAGTCCTGCAATGAAGGGAATCCGACTGTTCCACCAGATTGGAAACTTTGTGCATCAGCAGTGTCCTACCATGTACAACAAAAATAAACCTTATGTTTAGATGCATTGACAGCAGTATGAAAAGCATAAAATAACTTATTCTCCTTCATGATGATCGAAAGGTTAAAGTTAAAATATGTCCAGCTTTGGTTACTGCAGTTAAAAAAAATAATATTCTTCTGATAGAAGGAAATGCAGCAACATGACTCAAAGTGTAGCAGCCATGACCCTGAAATAAATGGCATTGTTTTGAGAGGAAAGTACATAGAAGTTTCTGCAAAGAAACTAAGAAAATGTTAACAAGCTATTCTATATCACCAGTGAAGTCTGGAGAACAACAACAAAAAAAAGATTAAATGTAGCAAGAAAGCTTTAGTTGAGGTAGGAAACACTTTACCACTGTAAGATATGGAAAGTATTGAAACGCATTACCTAGGTAAGCTCTTGAATTGCAATCTTTGGAGGACAGCCTCCAGGTAGACGAAAATCTGTCAAACAATGTAGAAAATACTGATTTCATCATGGTTTAGAGGAACCTCTGAATGGCCTCCAGACCCCTTCTAAGCCCTTTTTTCCGTAGATGGTATTTCAGGACATACAGCTCTTTACATATAAGAGGAATCTGTGTACTACGTAGCAGGATTTTTGTTTGGATTTATGTATTTCTTCAGTAAGTTAAGGGCCATGGTAACATATAAAAATGCAGTTCCAGTAACATTTTATAACAGTTAATTTTTTAAGTTTGATGATCTGATGTAGAAAAAAAGTCCATAGTGCTGTGGCTGAGGTGCAGCTTAGTGGAAGTCATGGTGCCATTTTAAACTACAGATAAATACTCTCATGAAGAATTCTGAAATTATTTGTTGTCTCATACTTGCTCTTTTCTTCTAGCATTTAGGATGAAATGCATGGTGTTGTATATGCATACTTCATTAGGTAAATTTCTGAGAGCATTTAAAACCAATTGTATTATGCAAAATAATATTTTTAATATGTTTAATATTTAATATGTTTAATATTTGTTCACTGTTTGAACATGGTGAAGCCTTTATTTTGCCTTCAGTTTTCCTTTTCAGCTTCTTTTAAGTA